TCTAATATGATGTGGGACACCCTGTAGAAAACTCTCACTCCTCCCTGCACATACAGGCCCGAAACTAGGATTTACAAAATAGTTTTATCACATCTGTCAACCTCCGATTCACATCTGTCAACCTCCGATTTACAACTGTCAACCTCCGATTTACAACTGTCAACCTCTGATTTACAACTGTCAACCTCCGATTCACAACTGTCAACCTCCGATTTACAACTGTCAACCTCCGATTCACAACTGTCAACCTCTGATTTACATCTGTCAACCTCCGATTCACATCTGTCAACCTCCGAATTACAACTGTCAACCTCCGATTCACAACTGTCAACCTCTGATTTACATCTGTCAACCTCCGATTCACATCTGTCAACCTCCGATTTACATCTGTCAACCTCCGATTCACAACTGTCAACCTCCGATTCACAACTGTCAACCTATGATTTACAACTGTCAACCTCCGATTCACAACTGTCAACCTCGATTCACATCTGTGAACCTCCGATTCACAACTGTCAACCTCCGATTCACAACTGTCAACCTCCGATTCACAACTGTCAACCTCCGATTCACAAATGTCAACCTCCGATTCACATCTGTCAACCTCCGATTCACATCTGTCAACCTCCGATTCACATCTGTCAACCTCTGATTCACATCAGTACGATTCACACCGGTCAACCTCCGATTCACACTTGTCAACCTCCGATTCACATCTGTCAACCTGAAATGGTCAAGGAGGAAACACTTGTGTTTGTTCAGGGTTGTCCCAATAAAAATGGGAATTTAGTGACCAATTCGATTTAGTCTTTTTAAATAATACTTTGATTTAGTATATTAAATTAAATATTTTCAATCGACCACCGCGATGCACCATTTTGAATCGGCCCTTCTCCTACAATAAAAGGTCACTTGAAATAACGTTTCAGATTCCTTTAAGTTAAATTTAGAAGATGTTTCAAGTGCACATTGCCTGGAATTGGTTGTCTTACGAAAATACATTTGTAGATTGACATGTAAAATTTAAAATTTCTAAATGGTTGAAGGGATGTTTGATTTTAAAATAAAATTAAAGGGACCGGCTTTAATTCTATTTATGAGCGTCATTATATTAGGGAATCAGGTGGGTCTCCCCCTATAACCTAGATCTCCAAATATATGGCCGCCAGCCGAGATTCTAAGCCTGGAAAGGGATAAATTTCCACCATTTTATCGCTTGTCAAAGATGAGCAAAACAAAATCGAAGTAGTTTGTCAAATGGCAAATCAAGCGTATCATTTTTAATTATTTTAGGGTTCAATAAATAATGCGATTTTATCTCTTGTGCGCAATCTTTGAATAGAATAAAATAATGTTATTAGAGACAGTTTCTGTATTCAACGCATCACGTTTCTCGTTCAAAACTGAGATATCTGGTTCGGGGTAAGACCTTTTAATTATTTAATTAGGTTCTCCGGACCCGGATATATAAAGGACACTCCAATAACTATGCGATTCTCAGCGTATTATGGCTTTTAGGACTACATCAAATACAGACAACAAAATATGAATGTATAATTAAAAGTTATGAAATGAAACGACTTAATAGCTAGATTAATAAAATTTAAATATTTAAAAAAATAACTTTTTTACAATAAATCTACTACAAGAACTTCAACATTTTTTGACAAGCACTGGATAAAGAATATTTAACTAATATATTAAAATTTATTAAAATAAAAATCTAATTTATTTCACACTAAATGCAATCCAACACATCTTAGGAGAAGTACTGTGCTCACATCTAATCATAAAAAAAGCTTAACGAGGCTTTACACGTTTTAGAAACAAAAATCGTTTTTAAATTTTCTATTTTTCAAAAAAAAACTTGTTTATCATGGTCGTGTGTTTTTAAACAGAGTACTTATAATTATCAATAGAAACATAAATTGTATTGAACTACAGTGAAAAAGGAACCAATAAAAATAGTATTCCTGAAGTTCTTGTCTTTTGAAGCCTTTTTCTAGAATTAAACAGCTTTGTGGTATGGTTATTCATGGCAACATTTGATAAATTCATAAGACGAGTTTGACACATAAAAACACTTTTTTTGACTGGTTATTTAAAATGTTATATCTTTCTAAAAATGATATTTATCATGACATAGTATATATTTATGATTATGAAGAGAACTAGGAATTGTATTTAACTTCAATGAAAACATAACTCTAAGCAATTTATCACTTCACTTTTTTGGACTGGTTAGTCATCAGAAGGGCAGGGGTGTATATTAGTTGTGAGACTCATATTCCCTCCCCCCCCCTCCCTTTCAGAATCATATATTTTCCACAAATCCACAACAACAAAAAACATGTATATTTTACAGGTTTCAGAAGCCCTCGAAGTTTGCTGCGGCGGAGGGGGGGGGGAGGGTTTGTGTGTGTGCAAAGCCACCTTGCAATTTTTTTTTGGATTTTAGTAGTTTCAGGGAGTGTTTTGGTGACCTAAAAAGGTCTACTTCAAGGTCCCCAGTTTTTCTGTGGCTTTTACCCCTTCCCTTCCCCCTTTACCCATACCGTTTCTTTTTTTCCCTTCTTCTTTCAATTCCCTCTTCCCCTTTCCTTCCACACTTTCCCCTTTTTTCTTTATTTTTTCCCCAAACCCAATGAAGGGGGGGGGGAGGAAACAGAAAAATATACACCACTGTAGAAGGGTCTACACTATACAGGGTTACCTATAAACTAAAAAGAATGAGAACTTCAATATGACTCAAGACTTTTCAAGCATTATTCAATGAATTTCAGACTTGCTGCAGCATTTACTTGTTTTCTTATCAAATAACTTATTTAAAAAAAATAATGTTCCGGGTTCACTGCAGAATTCGATGATCATATCGTAGCGAATAGTTTCAAGTGGCACATTTTTTATGGATAACAGAGTATTTACGTCACAAATTTTAAATTTAAAAAATTTAAATTCCAGGAGTAAAATTTGTTAAATTAAGAAGGAATTAAAAAAATAAAATTTTAAATCAAAGCACACAGTGGTACAGAACATAGGAAAAGTTAGCAAAACTATTTACACATTTTTAATATGCAAGTTGCACATGTAATCAGGGGTTTTAAGGGGCAAGGATTTCGAATCCAATCTAAAATTTCAGATATGTGCATGAATTTGGCGCGCGCGCGCGCGCGTTTTTTAAAAAAACATCAAAAAAGCATCATGCATATCAAATTATATGTTTTTTGGGTCAAGGAACGCAAATATGAAGTTTAAAAATCCGTATCTGTGTGCAATGAGCGCACGCGCGCATTAGAATTTCCATTTGTATCAATATAAGCATGTTATACATCAAAATATATGTTTTTAGGGGTAAGGAATTCAATTATGAAGCTTAAATGGTCCTGTCTGTATGCGTTTGGCAAAAATAAATAGTTTGCAAAGAAATCTTTATTATTCATTTATATCTACACAAGCAATTCTGCTGCTTCTTCAGGTAGCTCTAGTTCCTTCTTATTATCAGCACTCCTTCTTAGAGAGCTAATGACAGGATCAGATGAGCACAACATTCTTCTCATCAGATCGCAATTTGTATCCTTCCTGGAGGTTTTCCTAGTGAAATTCTCCCTAAACCTCTTGACGTTCTTGTTGGAAGCCTCCTGCGCCTCTTCAGAAAGCATACCTATAGGCAAAGGCTTGGCCCTGACCACTTGATGGCTGTGAATAAGTACCTTATGCAGAGCCTGGGGCATGTGGTACCAAGGATATAGTCTCACAAAGAGTTCTGCAGTACTCCAGCAATATTCTTGGAGCTTCTCTGGATCAATCTCTTGGGTTGAGGAAAGAGTACAGAGGATGACAAACATCCTTCTAATTAGATCCTCATCTACCCCTAGAGCATTTGCTGCAACAGTAGCTTCAGACCCAAACATTGAAGGAATAGTGTTTAAAATCCTCTCACCATATAAAAAAAAGAATATTTCTTTGTTGGTTGTCATTGTTCTTGATCAAACCAACAACTGATGACTTTTAGATCTGGTAATACTTTATATGAACTTTTCAAATTCATGTTTATGTTAGAATCTTGAATTCCTGTTTTTCTTGAATTTGTCTTGAATTCATGTTCATTCTTGAATTTGATGCAAGTAAGAACAAAATTGAGATAAAATCCATTGGATGATGATGGTGGCGCATCAATATGTAAGAAGAAATTATATCATAGCATGTTTTTTGGTTTATTCTTGAATTAATTTGAGTAAAGTATTTAAATTGGCGCAAAAATCACGCAACCTCTCACACATTCATGCTTTGACCATGTCTGTTATATTTCATAACCACATTCAGAGGTGCAAGTAGGTGCAACTAATTTTTCTCTTAACCATTTCTATAACACCAACATTGTATTTTGCCATAAGTCTGGGTGCATCAAAATGTATCAAAAAAAATCTGCTTATCTTCAAAAAAATGTCTTGAAAAAAAAAAATATTTTTTGAGGGTTCAAATATTTTAAAAAAGACTGAGTTTTAGTTCAATGGATATCAAACTTTTTCAAAATAATCTTTGAATGGTCACAAAGTAATGTGCTTAATTTCAAAAATATCGAATATAGTCTTCATGATTTTTTTTACCTAACATGTTAACCAGAAAATCTTAAATTTCTTACAAAAACTTCAGGGAACATGACAAAAAGTATATCTGTAGGAGGGGAAAAAGAAAAAATATTTTGATATTAAATGCAAATTTCTACCAATTAGGATGTTTAAAATCGAAATTAGTAAAAAAAAGTGTAAAAAATGAAAGTAAAAAAAGTAGGTTTTGCAAGTTGCTGGACCACTGTGCAAAGTGTTATTGAGTTAAAGTAAAGAATGGAGTAAATTATAACAAAAATGTTTGAAGAAGTAAAACCCAAGACTGACGTCTGATCAGCATAATAATAATACCGATCAGTAAATACATATGTTCTAATTCATCCTAACCCTTATTTTAATCTTATTTCACATTTTTTAAAATTCTGAGTTAGGAACTAATTAACATTACAAGTAGTACCAGCTGGTTCAACTATTTCTCCTGTGTACTACCTCTCCGGCTTAAGTTTATCTGTTTCAAAAGTTCCGACCTTAGATTTCCTTTGTCTGGAGAAATATAGGATATAATAAATATTCTTCAGAATCTTCTTGGTATCACTGAGCGCAAGTTAATCCCATTCTCTAGAAATATTATGTTCTTAATTTTTTAGGAACTAGTAGAACAAAAGATATTTTACAGAAATACAATTTGGGAAAAGCTTTTAAAGTCACTTTGATATGATTACTTAAAGGGAGTGTTCGCGAAAAATGAAAGGGGGGTGTAGGCTAAATGCGATAAAAAACGCTTCTGATCGCTACTAATCTTACTTCTATCTGTTGCGTCTACAAGGAGAAAATTGTTAAAAACGACTAACACCAAAGAACGCAGCGTCCATACAAATTCGGAAAGATGCAATATTCAACTCGGATCGTAAACAAATCAATTTAATTCCAAACAAATATTACAAACAGTAGAAATCGATTATTTTTCGACGCATTCGCATATAGTTAATATTTCATAATATTATTGATTTTGTTTTTTTAATAATAATTTTCGCTTGCACTGGATTTTCGAACATTCCTGGAAAATATGAAAATGTCGTCTTCATTATCAAAAATCCTCGAAACAGGAATAAATATTTTCAAAAGTAACTCTCAGATCATGAAAAATACAAATTATTATGAAATATCATCTATTTACGAATGCATCGATAAATAATCGATGACTATTGTTTGAAATATCTGAATGATTTGTTTGGAATTTAATTGATTTGTTTACGATCCGAGTTAAATGATGCAATTTTCTCAATTTGTATGGACGCCATGTTATTCGGTATTAACGTTTTTAACAGTTTTCTCCTTATAACCGCAACAGATAGAAGTAATATTAGTAGCAATCAAAATCGCTTTTTTATCGCATTAAGTCGATACCCCATTTCATTTTTCGCGAACACTCCCTTTAATATAAAAAGTTCCCATATTATCCACAAAGATTTTCACTGGACAAGAGCAACTACAACAAGATAAAAATCTTTGACAGCCCAGGGGTGTATATTACTTACTTTTTACCCCAAATTTAAAGAAAAAGACTCTAAATAAAAAAGTTTTTTTTTCATCTTGTTATATACTTTCCTTCCCCCAAATAAGACTCTAAAAACCCTTTAACATACCCAGCTTTTTGGGGAAAAAAAATCAAAAAAAGGGGGGGGGGGGGCGGGGTGTTATACAACCTGTCTTTGAATGACATTTCATAAACTTTCCTAAACTTTCTTCTAATTCTAGGAATTCTAGGGACGGGGGTGGGGTGGGGTGGCGTTGGCTTACCCGGGTTGACCTTCATCTTCACTAGCCTCATCCCCAGCCTCTAAAGGTACATCAGGAACCTCGATATTACCCAACAGATCCCTCATGGCCGCCAGGAGGTTGTTGACGGAGTGTCGGAGGTCCCTGGCCCCCTCATGACCTCCCTCGGCCCCTGCAGGAGGCAAGGGGTCAGCAGGATTGAAGTTTGGAAGGATCGAACGGAAGAAAAGACTCAAAGAACTTGGATCATCTAAACAATAAAAATTAATAAATTACATATTTTTTATCTCATATTTTTTTCTGTACAGAATGACGCAGAGTTTCTTCTGCAATGTATTTGAGTCATAGATCATCCAATCCTTGTACATCCTGTCCTCTTGTTTTTGTTTTGTTTAATAGATTGACCCACTTATTGACTTCAACGAAACACTTTTGCTCATTAATCAAAACTGTCAAACAGACTTTTCAATCCATTTGATTAACGTTCTCAAGTTTATTATCCAGGAATGGCTATTGTTAAAGACAGAAAGCTTTGAATAAAAAAGGTGGAGGGACAAAATCTTAAATCACTGATTTATTCCCTACATAACTAGTATGATCAAAAAAATAAGTATTCTCAATAAAAGTCTGTAAATTACTTTTTAACTCCAAAACTAATTTCATTTCACTGTTTAAAGGGGACGGCTGCAATCTTTGATACCAATCTTAAAATGACTTCTATATATAAACTTTGTATCCAATTAAAGTCAAAAAGACTGAACCGATCGGACCCACATTTTGTGTGGGACCTCACATGACCCCAGAGGAGGTTTATGGATGATAAACATTTCACAAATTAGCCTCCAACAAAATTTGATTTTAATTTAATTTAAAAAAACACATGTTTTTTTTATTAAATCCGCTAACTTTTTTTCTTACTGTTTTACAATGTATGCAAAGAGAAAATGTTCACAATTAAAAAGATAAGCTCGAAGCACCCTGAAAGCCTATTTACTTTAAAATCTAGTTGAAGAACCCTTCAATTTGTCAATTTATTGAACTAACCTAGAACAGTATTCCTAGGTACTACCCTAGAAAAGTAGGATTCCTAGGTGGGGCTAGGTACTAACCTAGAACAGTAGGATTCCTAGGTGGGGCTAGGTACTAACCTAGAACAGTAGGATTCCTAGGTGGGGCTAGGTACTAACCTAGAACAGAAGGATTACAAGGTATGGCTAGGTACTGACCTAGAACAGTAGGATTCCTAAGTGGGGCTAGGTACTAACCTAGAACAGTAGGATTCCTAGGTGGGCCTAGGTACTAACCTAGAACAGTAGGATTACTAGGTGGGGCTAGGTACTAACTTAGAACAGTAGGATTCCTAGGTGGGGTTAGGTATGTAATCACTGAACTAACCTAGAACAGTAGGATTCCTATGTGGGGCTAGGAATGTATTTACTTAACAAACCAAGAAGTAGAACAGTAGGATTCCTAGGTATGCTATTATTGAACTAACCTAGAACAGTAGGATTCCTAGGTGGGGCTAGGTATGTATTTATTGAGTCCTGAGGGGGCAAGGGGTCCCAGGATACAGTAGCTGCCCTGGAACTATCCACAGGTAACTGAGAGATCACAGAGCTTATCTCAGATATTAGGACGTGTCTAAAATATAGATTTTAAAGAATTAAAACCATACAAGAAGTCTAGAAAAGAATTGAGTCTTTACCATAAACTCAAATTTCTTATCCTATATCTTTGAAAACTAGTGGTGAAATTTAAAGCGTAGATTATTTGATGAATTCATAGTTTGAAATATCAAAATCTACGATGTTGGGTTGCAAAGTTGGTTGCTTGGGAAATCGAAACCAACCAATGGGGTATTCAAACAAACTAACATCTAACTCTCATAAAAAATTGACATTCACAAGTTTTGACATGCTTTTTGATTCTTTTTTATCCATATATTTTTAATTATGTTCCTCTAAGAACTAGGTATTTCCCACAATTCACACATTAGTATCTAAGCAAAAAATCATTTTCAAATGGGAGGGGGGGGGGAGGGAGGGTTAAACAAAGTGAACACTCCTGCTAAAATTTTATCAACATATCACCGGTCCGGAATTAATAAAATAACTAAGAAGTCATTAATTCTTGTGGTTTTTCTCATTAAATCAAATCAAAGAAAAAATGCTTGAATTTCCTCAGGTTTGATAATTATTGCCGAATTTAATGAATTTGAGTCGCCGCTCAAATGGTTTCACTTAAAATTGTATTTAATGTTTCAAAATTTAACCCGGCGCTCAATTGAAATTGGTTTTGGCGGATTTAAGACGGGGCTCAAATTCATTAAATTCCGACTCTGGTATTATGAATACTCTCATAAAGGGGCATTGATAGTGATGATAATTTAAAGAAAAATTAAATTTAGAAATAATGAAATGTTAATAAGCAACAAAGTTATAAAGGATTTCTAAGAATTTATTTAAGTGTTTATATTTAGAATATATTTTGATGTAAATACAGTGATACAACCATGACGTGGATTCATAATTTTCGATAAAATTCTATTAACAAACAGTTTACACGAAAAAAAATAACTTGTTAAAATTATTTATTAATTTGATTTGATTAAAAAATTGGTGTGAGTAACAATATTTTCTATCTTTGAAATGAAATGAAATGAAAAAAATCGTATCTAAGCCAAAACCTTCCTTGTTTCATCTGCATAAAGTCGTAAGCAATTTTTTTAAGAGAACCCAAAAAAATGAAATATTTTTTGTTTAAATTAAAATTCAGGCGACTTTCTCTTTAAGTTTGTATTGTATTACCTGTGAATATTTCTAGGCAGTCCTTGATATCTCGTTTTTCTATATTCTATACTTTTCAATACATTTTCTCCCTAGGCACAAACCTAACAATTCAACAGCTGAATAACAATGAATTTACTAAAAAAAATCACTAATTTACTGTCTATATTTTATTTTTAGTTTTGCTAAGAATAAGTAAGAAGTCTGAGTCGTTTGAGCAAGTTTTGTAATTTCCCAAAACAATATTTAAGAAAATTCACAAGAAAAAACCGAAAACCCGCGAAAAACAAAACAATAAAACTTCAGACCGCATATTTTTGCGAACCCAAAGAGTTAACTATTCTTATATTTTTTAAAGAAGAAAACAAAATATGTATAATTCATAAAATATGATTTGTTTAAGTTTCCTTCGCATTAATAATTTGAAGAACAGACGAACAATTTCTCTCCAGCCAAGGAAGAACCTGGAAAAAAAATAATAAAAAAAAGGTAATTACGAATTCTTTAGAAAACAGGGAATAAAACCCTATAAGATTATAAGTCTTATTAATAAAAATAAGAAACCTAGAAAAAAAGTGATTTAAGTTCATCTTATTCATGAATAGGGTTTCGGATAGAACATTAACTAAATCGATTTATCAATACCTTAATTGAAAATGTTTAGGTAGGGCTTTCAGTTCGTGTAATAGGATATTTTTATCTTTCCTTGAATTACGCGAAAGACATGATTAAAAAAGTTATGATTGCACTGTGAGAACAGTGTCTAAGTGAAGTTTATCATCAATTTAAAATATTTTATTTTATTTTTGCAAAAAGCATAAGTACGGATTTGAAATATATTAAATACGCTGTGAACTTAAAAATGGACTGAACTAGTTTTAAGATCGGATAATCATGCATGCATGAAGAGAGTAAGTTCCAATTATTAAAAACTAAAAATTTTATCTTAAAAACGTGCTTACCAAAATCTGTAAAAGAAACCTAATGGTTTAAAACCCAAATCCCAACTATTGAAAAACAAAATTATCAATAAAAATTCCTTATCTCTGAAATGGTTTCACAAGTTTAAAAATTATACTAATGTTAAAAAACCAGTAAATCTTCATGAAATATTTATGACCTGAATCCGGATTTTTTTTGGAGGTTGATCCAGGATCCAAATCCGGATCCGCCTGAAAATGAAATGGATCCTAAGCACTGCATGGGACGAGTTGTTACCTCTGGTTCCTTCCAGCAATGATGTGTTCTCTCCACGTATAGTGTAGTAAGTGTAGCAAGGGCAGGTTTGGTGCACCGGGTATCCAGGAAGTAAGGATGGGTTGACACACGGCTATCCGGGTCTATACTGCACTTATCTTAACAGGGTTAATAATATTAATAAGTAAAAGAGAAGAAGGAATTGAAAAGAGTAGATGGAAGGGAAAAGAGAAGAAGGAAAGGAGGGAAAGATTCAAGTACGGAGAAGTAAAGAGGAAAAAATAAGAAGGAAGGTAAGAAAAAAAGTGAGAAGAGGAAAATTCAAAAAATGGATGGAGCAACAAGGAAAGAAGGACACAGAAAAATGAATGGGAAAAAGAAGGAAGGAAGATCCAAGAATAGACGGAGAGAATAAGAAAAATAGATCCAAGGCCGGACGGAATAAAAGAAAGCAAGAAGATAAGAAGGACGGAAGGGGAAGATAAAAGGACGGAGAGGAAGGAAGGAAGGGGAGGATTCAAGGACGGAGAGGAAGGAAGCAAAAACGGAAGGGGAAGATTCAAGGAAGGAGAAGTAGGAAGGAAGGCCTAAAAACGGACTGAGAAAAAGGAAGGGAGAAGTGAAGAAGGAAGGAAGGGGAAGATAGGGTGGAATGGATAAGGAAAGAAGGAAGTTAAATAAATAGACAGGGGGAAAAAGGGAGAATTTAATAAAAACAAATTTTATATAACAAAATTCACAATGAATGCAAATAGATTCCCTACGCCCACTAAATTTTTTGTTTATAAAGAAATTAATTACATTAACAAGTGAGATGCAAAGGGAGGCAACAATTTCTAAACCCTTCCCCTTACATAATAGGTCATGTTTGTAAAAATAAATGTAGCAGGGGAGTTTTTTTTATTCGACTAGGTAAGAATTCCTATTTCAGTCATGTTTTCTCTGAAATCCATTTTTATAATTTATTCTCAAAACGTCTTAAAAGGGGATGGTGGAGTTGGCACATTTGATGTAGGGGGGGGGGGGCTGCCTT